AGCCCAGCCTGGATGACTTAATGAGACTCTGTCGCCAAGTAAAATTTTTAAAAGGGCCCTGGGTTCAATCTCCAGTGCTGCAAAACAAAACAAAACAAACATCATTCTCTCCCTTTAGTGCTCTTCATGTTGGCAGGCCATCTAATGCTGTAATAGAAACTTTCAATGTGTTCTGCAAGCACATGCTGCTGAGCACCTCAACATATCCTAGCAGACCCTGAGCACCATATCTGATTAGAGGAGAAATGCTGCAAGTAAGGCAGAAAGATGCCTTTCCAAGAATCAGCAAGATTTGGTCATTAAGTCATGTAGTCTTTTAAGTAAGAAAATAATTTTTTGTCCTGTTTGTGTGTATGTATATTAGGGAGCAAACCCAGAGCCTCAAATATTAAGTACGTAGTCTACTACTGAATTATACCCCCAGCTATAGGAAAATGAAAATGGCTGGTCTTTTAATTCATCTGATATAGCCCCTAATTTTCTTGGCATATGTCAAATAAATACAGGTTAAGCTAGGCATGGTGGCCCATGCCTATAATTCCAGCACACTGGTAGGCTGACGCAGAGGATCCTAAGTTTGGACCAGCCTGGGCAATTCAGTGACTCAGTAAGATCCTGGCTCAAAATTAAAAATAAAAGAGTGGTTTGGGTTTTGTAGTTCAGCACAAAGTTCCCAATACCATACACTGTAATTCTTTTCTTTTGTTGAGAAAAGAAATGTCCATTTCCATTCTAATAACCTGAAACAAGTATGGTATACTCATTTTACCTTTGAGGAAACTGAAATTAAGATGTTCAGGTCACACAGTCAGGAAGTGTAAGCACTGCTTTGTCATGATGGTTTTTTGTTTTTGTTTTTTTTCAGACAGGGTCTCGCTAAGTAACTTAAGCTGGTATCCTGCCTCAGCCTTTCAAGTGCTGGAATTATAAGCATGTGCCACCATGCCTGCTCCAAATTGTAGTTTTTAAAATATATAACATAAAATTTACTATTTAAACCATTTTGAATTCAGTGGGCATTAAAAACATTCATAATATTATAAAAGCATCACAATTATCTATTCCCAGAATGTTTTCATCATCTCTAACAGAAATTCTGCACCCGTTAAGTAGGAACTCTTCATTTCTCCTCCCTCTGAGCCCTGGAATTCTTGTCTATTTTCAGTCTCTATTGGAAATATTTCATATAGCTAGAATAACATTTTTGTCCTTTTATGTCTGGCTTACTTCACTTAGCAAACTGTCTTTGAGGTTCATCCATGTGGCAGCATGTTTCAGAACTTCATTTTTTTTCAGCTGGTTAATATTCTGCTGCTGTTCAACTAATGATGTACATCTGCGTTGTTTCCACCTTTGTTTTTTGGTACCGGGGACTGAACTTGGGTCCTTGTGCTTGTGCAGCAGGTGGCGAAAGCAGAGCTGAATCCCCGGCCCTTTTCCCTTTTTAACACTGTGCAGACACTGGCTTCTCAGATGGAGCCTCACATATGTCTGGCTATCCACATAGGAACAGGACTGCTGGATCCTGCACTAGAGCTCTGCACTCACCTCCCTGAGGAAGTGCCAAAATTTCCCACAGAGGCTACACCACGTTACATATACATATATAGATATCTATATATCTATATATCGATATATAGATATCGATATATAGATATCTATATATCGATATATATATATGTATTTTTGGTGTGCTAGGAATCGAACCCACGGCCTCACATATGCTAGGCCAATGCTCTACCGGTGAGCCATGCCCCTGCCCTCATGTTATGTTCTCATACCCCATTACATTTTTCTTACTTGTGATATTCCTATTTCTCTATATACTTGCCAATACTTGTTATTTTCTGGGGGGTTTTTTCTTTAATTTATTGTGATTTTTAAAATTATTACTGTTTTGTGTTTTTTTGAGAGTCTCACTATGTAGCTCAGACTAGCCTTCAATTCACTATGTAGACCAGGTTGGTCTTGAACTTGCAGCGATTCTCCTGTCTCAGCCTCCCAAGTGCTAAGATTATAGGTATGCACCACCATGCCCAGCTGTGATTTATTTATTAGTAGTACAAGTTTGTAATACATACTGGATATATACACAATGGATACATTCACTGTGGGGACTCAGTACATATCACATCTTACTTTTTTATTTCTCCTTCCTTCCCGCCCCTTTCCTCTCCCTTCATCTCTAGTGTTTTGGTTGGTTTTGATAAACACACACACACACACACACACACACACACACACACACACACAGGACTAAATCCAGGGCCTCTGAACTCACTATGTAGTCCAGGCTGGCCTCAAACTCCCAGCAATCTTCCTGTCTCAGCTTACTGAGTGCTAGGGTTACACACATGTGCTACCATGCACAGCTATTTTTTAAAATTTTTATTAGTATATGTCTGTAGTACATATTGATTACATTCATGGTGGGGAATTGGTACATGTATGTAATACATCTTAATTATTTTTCCATCCCATTCCCTTCTCCTCCTTTCCCTCTCCACTTCCTCTATCTCTTGGTCTCCCTTCCATTTGTGAAAGATCTATCTCCCTGTTTCCTATTATCTATCTTTTGTTTTGTTCTTTAAATTATTTATACTTTGGGTTTCTCATATAAGTTCAACCATGTAATATTTAAGCTTGTGTGTCTGATTTATTTCACTTAACACGACTGTCTCAGGATGCATTCATTTTCTTACAAATGACTCAAATCAATCCTTCTTTATGACAGAATAGTACATTTTATATAAATACCATATTTTATCTATTCATCTGTTGATAAGACTTACAGGCTGCTTCCAAGATTTAGCTATTATTATGACTAATGCTGCTATAAACATGGGTATGTATGTAACACTGTAATATGATGTCTTTAACTCTTTGGAAAGATTCTATTTTGTTATTTTGAACAGTCTCACTAAATCACCCACGTGGGACCTGAACCTGAGATCCTTCTGATTCAGCCTCCCAAGTACACCACAGCAACCAGCTTTATTTGCATTTAATTAATGGCTAATGGTGTTGACAAGTTGTTGGCTATTTGTATGTACATCTTCTCTAGGAAAATGTCTATTCAAGATCTCTGTGCAGTTTTGAACTGAGTGATTTCTTTTTACAGCTTTAGAAACAATGAATATGAAAAAATAAATATTCTAAGGCTGCAAGACAAGAGAGATACCAACACAACTGTCTTTTCTATGTAATTAAAATACAACAGTTGTAAATGCTTTATAAATGTAGCTCCAGCCACCTACCTGTCCATACTCAACACATCCATGACCAAACATGGTCATAAACATGCCAAAACCAAAAAGAAAACGACAGTCTCTGTTAACCCATGGAGTCCTTCTGTGCCAAGAAAAAAATACGTTAAAGAAATGTTAAGCCCTGGCTCTGGGTTACTGTTCTCTAAATCTCAGCTACCAGAACCTCAAAGAGTCATCCGTGAAGAGCTGGCAGGATCTGTCATTGGTTCCAATCCCCCCACCTGCCCCGCTGAGACAAGAAATAGAAGTATTAAAGGATGTAACAGATCTTCAGGATAGACTTGATTTTCTTTGTTCAGGATACACTTTCATTGGGGAAGAATTAATAAACTTTCTCAAAAGTATAATTCAAACAGGGCATGGTGGTGCATGTCTGTAATCCCAGCGCTCAGGAAGCTGAGGCAGAAGGATCACCATGAATTTGAGGCCAGCCTGAGCTACATAGTGAATTCAAGACTAGCCTGAACTACACAGCAAGAGCCTGTCTCAAAAAACCCAAGAAGACAAATAAATAAATAAATAAATAAATAAATAAATAAATACCTAATTCAATAAAACTAAAATTAATCTCTGCTTTTTAAGTCAAATGAAGCTTTAGTCAATTCAAAGACACTAGAAAAAAAGTAGAAGATATTAGTGGTAAAATTAATGTATTTCAAAGGCCTACTGCATAGTTTTACCTTTTTAAAAATAAAAATTAAAGGGGCCAGGGATTTAGCTCAGTGGTTCCACTGCCTGCCTTGTAAGCGCAAGGTCCTGAGTTGGATCCCCAGTACCAAATAAATAAATAAATAAATAATTCTTTTAAAAAATTAAAAGTTTCAAAAATACCATTTCCATACACTCGTCACCCAACTTCCTCTACCATCAACATCTTACATGTGATCAAAACCAGGAAGTTAACAATGACATAATGCTATTAACCCATCTATACACCTTCACTAATATGGTTTCTGCCCAGGACTTCACATTGCGTTTACTTCTGTTTAGGCTCCTCTCATCTAGCACAATTGGGTCAGTCTTTCTGTAATGACTTTAATCAGCAATTTTTTTTTTGGTACCAGGGATCAAACTCAGGACCTTGAACTTACAAGGCAGGCGGCAGCACCACTGAGCTAAATCCCTGGCCCTGTAATGACTTCGATATTTTGAAGAATACTAGGAGTTATTTTCTAAGATGTCTCTAAATTTGAGTTTTTTATGCTGCCTCATTAGATTGAAATTATGTTTTGTTTTGGTTTTTTTTGGTACTGGGGATCGAACTCGGGTCCTTGCACTTGTGCAGCAGGTGGCGAAACCACTGAGCTAAATCCCTGGCCCAGAAGTTATGTATTTTTGGGCAACAATCCTGCATTATTCTCAGTTTATCCTGTCAGCAGCACATATAATAATGTGTATCATGACAGAAGGTACGTTTTGTTCTGTTTTGGACACAGGGTCTCGCTGTATAGTTCAGGCTGGCTTGAACTAACTATGTAGCCCAGGCTGTCCTCAAAGTCATGGCAATCCTCCTACCTCTTCTCCACTAATAGGTCTTTCTGATGAAAATTTTCCTCAGCGTTACCTATCAACAAATTCAATTTTCAAGGTCTAAAGACTTGCTGATTCTTTTAACTTTTAATTTTGCCTAACAAAATTACTTAGCTGATTCAAGAAAACAAAGGCCTACAATCATATCACATGGCAATTATAAGAAGAATAACTGAGCAGAGAGCATGGCTAGTGACTGACCTTTGTATTCAGGGGTGAACTCCTTCATCTCAGGAGGGAGGGACTCATAGAAGCGCTGCTCTCTGGAGATGAGAGGTTTGCACACAGTGTGGTCGTCGTAACGCATCATGCTGCTGTGCCCGCCCACTTGGTGGATGAAGGGCTCCAGGAGGACTCCTCGGTCTCCCGCTCGTCCTGCATTCTTGCCATACTGCCCCACTTCCATGGTTTGACAAACACACATTTCGTTGGGGGCCGGTTGCAAAACTGGGGACACAGGTTGCAGCACATGGGCCACAAAATGTAAAAGCTAAGTAGACGGTCTTGGCAACCTAAGGCAATAGTCACGGTCTGCTCAGCTTCTTACTCTGTCCTACAGAAAAGACAAGAAAAGGGAATCAAAACAGCTGTGATGTTGGAGCTATGTACATTACAGCCATTGGAGAGGCTACTATCTCTGTTTACTTCACATTCAAAGGTAAAGGGATCAGGGCCGGGGATTTAGCTCAGTGGTTTGCTGCCTGCCTTGAAAGCTCAAGGTCCCAAGTTCTAGCCCCAGTACCAAAAAAAAAAAAAAAAAAAAAGGAATAAAGATGAAGGGATCAGGAAAAAAACAGCAAAAGAAATTGGTTTTGTTCAGGGTTGCTTCCTAATTCAAAGGAAGGGTTTTTGCTCAGAAATCAGGTCACACTAGTCTCCCAAATTCTCTGCTAAAGGTTTCACGGATGAGACAGGAAAAGCCATTCCTTGGTAAATTGTAAAATCAGGAAAAAATGTTTTGCTTTTCTCAAGGTAATTCAGATTTCAGATGTCTTCCATCTTCAATCTACAGCTGATAATTTATGATCATGTCTAGCACCAGAGAATATCCCTTTCTATTTCTGGGTAAACCAGCAGGACAGGGAAAAGGTCTCTGTACTCAAATACCTTCCCTATAATGTCAGATTTCTCTAAACAAAATTAAAACAGTTGCTAACTTCCTTACTAATAAGTTTGCTTTTGGTACTGGGGATCGAACTCAGGTCCTTGCACTTACAAGGCAGGTGATGGAACCACTGAGCTAAATCCCTGGCCCTGAGTTTGCTTTTGAATCAGGAATGTACTAGACAAGACTACATCTGAAAGATTAAAACCAAACAAAAATATCTGTGGAGCAGAAATATGATCCTGCCTGCAAGAGATAAAACATAGTTTGCTAGATCTTATAATTATGAGCAAATGGGCTATATAAGAACAATAATGCAAGTTGGGTGTAGTGCCACACACCTGTAATCCTAGCATTTGGGAGGCTGAGGCAGGAGGAACACTGAAAGTTCAAGGCCAGTGTGGACTAAATAATGAGGGGTGGATGGGGGGGGGAAGAGGTAAGAGGTATCATGTACAGGTGCAAATTCCCTATAATAAGTGTTATCATTATGTATGTCTAAAATATACCAAAAAATGTTTTGCTTTTTAAAAAAAAAAATGAGTTCAAGGCCAGCCTGAACCATCAGAGTAAGACTTTGTCTCAAAAAACCAAAAAACAATGCAAAACCTCAAAATCTTAACCCAAAGCTGCCTAGGCTGGGCATGGTGGTGCACAGGTCTGTAGCTATTCAGGAAGCTGAGGTATGGCTCCCTTGAGCCCAAAAGTTCAAGGCCAGTCTTGGCAACAGTGAGAACCCAATCTTAAAACAACAACAAAGCTGTCTGGGCAACTATGTTGTTTCACTGCTACCACCAAAGTAAATCTCTACTCCCACTTCTAGAAACAGACTACAAAGTTGTTTTGATGTTTGTTTCTTTGTTTTTGAGATGGAGTCTCACTACATTGATCTGGCTGGCCCCTATGTAGGCCAGGCTAGCCTCCAACTTGTGGTGATCCTCCTGCCTCAGCTTCCTGAATGCTTTCCTAACAATATTTTCTCTGAGCAGAAAATATTGAGTGTCAAGGAGAGAAGGGTAGTGGCTTGAGCTTTACAAAACAGCCATTTTAATTCACTTGCTCAGATGTACCTAGGAAAGACTCAGATACCACAGATGTGGAGGACTTTGTGAGATGCTAGTTTCTAAGACTGGCAACAAGCTGGTATTTATTCAAAGCATTTACAGGGCAAAGAAGCCTCCACTTTGCCCACTCACCCTGATGGTCATTAACTATGACCAACAAACATTTAAAAGTGAAAAGCAATTCCAACTGATTTCTATAGCCTAATTCTTTCGTCTGCAAATTAAAAATGTCATTTGCCTAGATTCAGAGCTGAAGGAAAATTTGTAATTCTCTCTCCTCTGTGCCCCTTTCTTTGACAGTCAGAAGTAGGACACTTTTATTTTTGAGGTACTAACAAGAACTAAAGGGAAGTAACAGCTGCTGTGGTGGTACCTGCTTGTTGTCCCAGGCTGAGGCAAGAGCATCATCACAAACTTGAAGCAAGCCTGGGCCACACAGTGAGTGCAAGGTTTCAAGGTCAGCCTGACCGACACAGCAAGATTCTGGTCCCCCCCCCAAAAAAAAAGAAAAGAAAAGAAGACAGAAAAAGATTTGTGCCACCCGAGGCAAATTAGCAACTAAGGAAGACTTCTCAAAACAAAAGGGCTAGGGATGTAGCTCAATGCAAAGGCCCTTGATTCTTGCCCTAGTATCACAAAAATGAATGAATGAACTACAGGAACAGCAACCATAGTTTTGAGAAAGATCCTTAGGAAATCACACTCAATGTTTCAAGCTCTGCTTTCAGAGTCTGTTCTTTCTTTCAGATGAATATTCACTTTTTGTGATGACTTGGTAGGTTATTTGCTAAATAAATCTTGTTCTTTTGTTTTGTTTTTGGTACCGGAGATCAAATTCGGATCCTTGAGCTTTCAAGGCAAGCAACGGAACCACTGAGCTAAACCGCCGGCCAAGAAATCTGGTTCTTTTTTTTTTTTTTCGTACCAGGGATCGAACTTGGGTCCTTGCACTTGCGCAGCAGATGGCAAAACCACTGAGCTAAATCCCCGGCCTAGAAATCTTGTTCTTATAAAAAGAATTTTATACTTTCCTATAGAGTAGTCTGTAGCAAGTGTGTACTAGGTTGAAAATCTTTTTTTTTTTTGGTACCGGGGATCGAACTCAGGACCTTTCACCTGCAAGGCAGGCGAGGTGCCACTGAGCTAAATCCCCGGCCCTACCAACTTCTTGTTTAACCAAGTAAGACACCAAGTCAGCGCAACAAGAAGAAGGAAAGATGAACAAGACCAGACCCTTCAATGTCAAGAAACAGTTCAGGAGGATTGCTCACTTGATAATAAAGGTAAGTATTGGGAGGTGATCTGATTCTTACTGGAATTACACATTGTGTTGCGCTTTTTTTTTGGTACCAGGGATCAAACTTGGGTCCTTGAGCTTGCAAGGCAGCCGCCGGAACCACTGAGCTACATCCCCAGCCCTAGATTGAAAATCTTTACTTTGAAACATTAAAAAATAAAATCCCAAGCTGTGGAAGTAGTTCAGTGATAGACCACTTGCTTAGCATGTGTGAGACCCTGGGTTCAATCCCCAGCACTCAAAAAAAAAAATCCACTGGTAAAACCTGATATATGTCAGTATATAGGAGTAAAACTCCTGTCTAATGAACATAATCTTGAAAGAGGAAATGAATCAAAATTATAAAATATTTATACATTAGATCATTGTGTTTTTGGGGGGTGGGGGTGGGGATTGAACTCAGGACCTTGAGCTTGCAAGGCAGTCAGCGGAACCACTGAGCCCAGATCACTGTGTTTTGATCACTAACTTTTTTTTAACCAAGTCTGGTGTTCATGTTAGGGCCAGAATCAGGTCTCAGAAGAAACAGGAAAAGGGCAGAACACAGCTAGATCATGGTTTGTCAAAAGAGATAGTTTGGTTAAGAGTAGTTTTGTGTCTTGACAAAATCATATTATACTTGTATGACCCAGTATATAGCTTCTATACCCTAAATTGGTTTCAATCATTTTATTGTATAAAGCACATCTCCTGCACCCTGAAGAAAAGCTCAAAGGTTCTGGGGTTTTCAAGAATAGCTGCATGTTCTTTAGCACTGTCACAGCCTCCTAAGCAGAGGGAGCAGCAACCATTCCTTATAGATGCGAACAACCAGAGAGGAGGGGATAAGGGGTCAAGGATCCTCTTCCATTCTAGTGATTAGTGTTCCCCATTCAGAGAAGAAATAATATAGTTTGTGTGCATCACTTATCCTAATCACTGGAAGTTTATATTAAAACAGTTAAATCTTAGGGGCCGGGGATTTAGCTCAGTGGTGCCACCACCTGCCTTACAAGCACAAGGTCCTGAGTTCGATCCCCAGTACCAAAAAAACCAGAATGGTTAAATCTTGCAGCTTAGAGAGAGTTCCCCCAGACATCATGGGGTGCCACTGCTTTGCCTCTAAGTTTATGCATGTTGAGCTATAGTAGAATCTGTTTATCCTGTTTTGCTGTAAAACATTTTGGTTTCACATTTTAAGATAATCACTGCATAAAATGGGGAAGGAGGCTACTTATGGAAAGAATTTGCTGAGATTCTCAAACTGAATTTTTCTCTCTGGTAAACTGCAACAAATGGAAATAAATTTGCACTACAACAGTATTAATTACAACAATTAGGCTTTCTGATTATAGTAGCCAATTCCTTGAACATATAACTGAACTCCAAAATGAATTATGTCTGTATTCAAGCAAAATAGGGCTTCTGATGTTCCTAAAATTTGTATATTATTTCCCCCTTTCTGGTCCTTTTTGGTTTTGTTGTTGTTTTTGCTTTGAGACAGGGTGTCCCTATGTAGGTCAAGCTGGCCTTTGAACTCTCTATGTAGCCCAGGCTGGCCTGAATTCACAGCGATTGTCCTGCCTCAGCCTTCTGAGTGCTGGGATTACAGGCATGCACCACCACACCTGGCACTGTTTTCCTTTCTAAAGCAAGAGCCAGGCAAGATCCCAGCCCTGGGAGGCTGAGGCAGGAGGATTGCCACAAGTTCAGGGGGGAGGTGTGCTAAGAAATGAAGACGATTTAATCACATCCCATTCACAACAGCAACCCAAACTATAAAATATCTACAAACTTTAATTGTATCAGACCAACAGAACGTTTCTGAAGGATCTAAAAGAAGACATGTTTGTATTAACAGAGGACTCAACATTGAAACACAATACAATTTCAATCAGAATCTTGAGCGAGCTGGGCACAGTGGCAATGCCTATAACTGAAGCACTTGGGAGGCTAAGGCAGGATTGCAAGTTCAAGGCCAGCCTAGACTACATACAACTTTACTCAAAAACAAAGGAAAATTCCTTTTTTTTTTTTTGCCATGTTGGGGACTGAACTCAGCCTTGCACATGCTAGGCAAGTGCTCTTCCATTGAGCCACCCCCACCC